CACACACACACACACACACACACACACACACACACACACATGGTCTGAGGTTCTGCTCTTCCTGCAGGAGGAAGCAGCTGGCTGGTGACGATGATGATGTCATCGCTGACGTCATCAGACTTCCTGACTCTGTAGGTTGGTATCATCAGCTGCAGCTTGACGGCGTGGTGTGCCGCCATCTTGCTAGGTGCTAACTGGACTTTGCTAAGCCTGCTTTATCATCAGAAGACAAAAAAAAAAGTGTTTTTTCTTCTCGGCCCGTTCTGAGCACAACCACCAGGTAGAACCTTTTCTCACAGGGTCGTGCAACAAGTATCATGTGATTGGTCAGAACTTTGTGGGCGTGTTTATTCCGTAAAGCTCATCTGAACAGCTCTCATTTAGCTGTTTGAGTCTGTTAGAAAGTACAGCCATCTTTACAAAACTTAGAAAGACAGTCGCCCACATGGATGGAGACAGCGTGGAGACACAGGCGGCTCTCTGTGGCTGTGCTGCCCAGCAGGACCTGTGTCCTGGACAGCGTCAGAAACACTGGCTGTCTCTTTGTGACGTTAGTAAAATAACTGTCTTCAGTTAACAACAGGAACACCTGAACTTCCTCCTCCATCATCAACTGTAAATAAACATGTGTGTGTGATGTGTGCTGCAGTGGGAGGGGCTAACAGGACTCTCCTCCCACACACACATTATGTATACTGTATAAATTACATGTTTTTATTTTTATTTCTTCCCCTCTGGTCCTCAGAAACTAATCATCCTCCATCTAACATCACTGATGAATTGAAGAAGAAGAGTGAGAAACACGATGAAGCTCTGAAGCAGCTGGAGACACACCTGACTCACCTGTCCCAGGTAAACCTGCTTCACTTCCCAAATAAACTGCTGACTCACTTTTATTTATTGAGCTTTTTATAATAAGGATAATAATGGATGGATGATGGATGGATGATGGATGGATGATAGTTGGATGGTGGATGGATGATAGTTGGATGATGGTTGGATGATAGTTGGATGATGGATGGATGATAGTTGGATGATGGATGGATGATAGTTGGATGATGGATGGATGATAGTTGGATGATGGATGGATGATGGTTGGATGTAGGTTGGATGGTAAATTAATGGTGTCGTTCTGTCAGGTGTGTGAGACGGAGGTGAGGACCGTCTCTGAGCAGCTGCTGTCCTCTCTGTGTGAGGAGGACCTCAGGTTGAACAACCTGAAGGACAGAATGGGACACCTGGGACACATCAGTCTGCAGGTTCACAACAACACAAAGACAACAACAAACAAAGACAACAACAAAGACAACAACACACAAAGACAACAACAAACAAAGACAACAACAAACAAAGACAACAACACACAAAGACAACAACACACAAAGACAATAACAAACAAAGACAACAACAAACAAAGACAACAACACACAAAGACAACAACACACAAAGACAACAACAAACAAAGACAACAACACACAAAGACAACAACAAACAAAGACAACAACACACAAAGACAACAACAAACAAAGACAACAACACACAAAGACAACAACATGAAGACAACAACACATGAAGACAACAACACACAAAGACAACAACACACAAAGACAACAACATGAAGACAACAACACATGAAGACAACAACACACAAAGACAACAACACACAAAGACAACAACATGAAGACAACAACACATGAAGACAACAACACACAAAGACAACAAC